GGTGCTGGTTTTGTTTGGTGCTGAGTTTGTTTGCTGGAGGAAGAAGATGATGGCAAATTCGTAATTTTGGTGGGCCCCACTTTTGTTGGGTTGGGCAAGGACATGACATGTACGTTGCCATGTCATTATTTATTCATTTATACAACTTACATGTCTCAGATGTTTGACATGTCATTAAATTGTCGTGAGATAACGGTGAGATTTTAACAGAAGGACCAAATCGGGGTAAAAATGGTAAACAGTAGGGACCAAATCAGGGATTTTTTTAGTTCATGGACCAAATCGGGGGTCCGTACAATAGTTCAGGGACCAAAAAGGGGTTTTAACCTATTTTTTTATATTATTTTTTTTCCACATCATCACTTTTTATATTACTATATGACATGTCATCTGGTAACCGTTAAGTAACAGGCCACGTCACACAATTTTTAACGGAAGGACCAAATCGGGGTAAAAATGGTAAACAATAAGGACCAAATCAAGGATTTTTTTAATTCAGAGACTAAATCAGGGGTCCGTACAATAGTTCAGGGACCAAAAAGGAATTTTAACCAAAGACAAAAAATAACTTTGATATGCAACAAGTATAAAAATTAATGTTCGAAGAACAACAGGAGTTGGATTATTTTTAGAGATTGGTACCGGAGCGTCTTTCCCTCCATGGTTGTTTTTGAGATATAATTCTGGACGTGCTAATAATACTGTTGCGGACTAGGTGGCTAAATCCACCTTGAAGAGCACACCTAGGTGGAATTGTCAGTTTGGCTGCCATTGTTGTGTACTGTTGGATGTGGATGTCTCTCTCTGCTAGCCGTATAACATGTTTCATAATATGTTAATGGGATGAATGATGTTTAAATTGGGTCAATATATGGATGTGAGGAGTTTAGTGATTATTTTTATTTTAAGTGAAGTTAGATTATAAATTAGTGTTTTAAGTATGTGAGTAAAATAAATAAAATAATAAAAAATTATTTTTTATTATATATTCAAATATCATAAAAATTCAACTTCATGAGTCATGACTCAAAAGAATTTTTAAAGTGTTAATTAATACTTCATAATTCAAACCTATTTTATATGATATCACACGAATGTCATGTAAAGAAAATATCAAAATTCATAATAACATCACCATCATTCATTAAAATTTAATATTTACTCTTATTAATAAACAAAATTCAAGTTGAATCAATCTATTGGATCGATTGGTTTACCCACAAAACCTAAGAGATTAGTTTATGTAGGTTGGGAGTTTTACTCCCACCTACTTGGAAAAAAACCCCTTCGCTCAGAATTTCTCCAATGTTCAAAAAAACAAAACAAAAAACAAAATTCAAGTTGAATCTGTCTTTTTTAAGAACAAAGCTATTATTAATAGCTATAACATTGAAAAAAAAAAACACTTTAATTCTATGTCCTTTTAATAAGAACATGGTATTTTCAAAAGTGATTACAGCTTTTTAAAAATGTGTTATAAAAAAATGTGAGAATATTATAATTATAATATTATCTAAAATACAATATTAAAAAAATATAACATAATATTTAATAAATAAATATTTCTAATAAATTTTTAACTAAAAAATATTTATTATATAACAACACAAAATTATACATTTATAATGAAAAAAATGCATATCAATCATGACTCTTAAAAAAATTAGAATTATAACATTAAATTATATCGTTTTATTTAATTAAAATTTAATTTAAAATTTAAAAATTTATTTTATTAAATATTAATATTTAAATTTAAAAACGGATTGAATCTTTAAATTTTAAATTGTGATTTTAATTTTTAAATATAAATAAAAACTTTATTTTTTTTCTAAAAATTAAAATGATATACACTAATCTCATTTATAATATTATTTATTATTATAATTATAACATTTTCTGAGCAAAATTGACACGGGATAACAGTGTTACAGATTCATCGTGTACCAATTGAGAGGACGGAGACTGGGACCATATAGGCTATGAAAAATGGGTTAATTGGGTCGGTTAGCCCACAAAGAAAACGCTGGAGTCGGGGTCCGGGTACTCCAAAACAGCAGCCGGTGCCGGGCAACATAGTTTTACGTTTCTTTCTTCGAAAAGGTCTCAACTTTCTCCAGCGCGGAGTTGAAACTTGAAGCTCCAATTTTATTCTTGTTCAAGGTATGCCCAAGTTTGTTTCTTTCCAATTTTCGTTGGCTCATTTCAAGATTTTTTTTCTTCTACGTTTTCGCCATTATGTCTTCGATTCCTTTTTTGGGTTCGAGGTTTAGTAATTAGGGTTTCCTCAGTGTTAATTTCCCGTTAAAAGTTTCCGATCTTCAAATTGGAGACGTGCTTCTGAATCTAGGGTTTGTCGATTGCTTGAATGCTTTTTTATTCTTTGGTCTGAGTTAGAATTTTTAGTTTATGATCAAGTTCAACCGAAGACGGTACAATTTGCCTCATTTGAGATTGATTTTCATGATAGTCCTGGATGTCAATGTGGGAAAATTAATTTTTAGGTTTCAAACCTCATATGTGGTAATTTGTTGTTTATGTAGAATTGAGAGAAATTTTTCTTAGAAGGAAAGAATATGATGTGAGTATATCTAAAAGTGTTTGTACTGCCTCTAGGATATTGGTTTTTTTTTTTTTTTTAATCATGGTGTTGGCTCCTCTGATAAACCCTTTTTTTTGGGGGGGCATTCAGCACAGTTGTTTAAACCTTTTGCAAAAGTGAAGTTGGTGAAGGCTATTTTATCTGATTACAAACTTAAGATTCTGTAATTAGGTCTCTTTACATCAATCAATCAGTTACTTTTGTATTGCAGGGCTTGATTTTTATTAGTAGTTGCAGTAATTACCATGTCTGCATCGTATCTTCCTGCCACTACAGATTCAATTGCTCAAGCTTTAGAAGCTAAAAACCCGAATGAGGCCATCTCTATTCTGTATCGGGTTCTTGACAATCCTTCATCTTCACCAGAAGCTCTGCGCATAAAAGAACAGGCCATCACTAACCTCTCAGACCTTCTCAGGCAAGAGAACAGGGCTGACGATCTTCGTACTCTTCTTACTCAGTTGAGACCCTTCTTCTCCTTGATTCCTAAGGCTAAAACGGCCAAAATTGTCAAGGGAATTGTTGATTGTGTTGCCAAAATACCTGGGACATCTGATCTTCAAATTGCTCTATGCCAAGAAACAGCACAATGGGCCCGTGAGGAAAAGCGTACATTTCTTAGGCAGCGTATTGAGGCAAGGCTTGCAGCTCTTTTGATGGAAAACAAGGAGTATCCAGAAGCTCTAACTCTTCTAACAGGCTTGGTAAAAGAGGTTAGGAGATTAGATGACAAGCTACTTCTTGTGGACATAGACTTGTTAGAGAGCAAGCTCCACTTCTCATTGAGAAACCTTCCAAAGGCAAAAGCAGCCCTTACTGCTGCCAGGACAGCTGCAAATGCCATATATGTGCCTCCAGCTCAGCAAGGCACCATTGACTTGCAAAGTGGCATCCTTCATGCAGAAGAGAAGGATTACAAAACTGCTTACAGCTATTTCTTTGAAGCATTTGAGTCATTCAATGCTCTTGAGGATCCCAGGGCAGTTTTCAGTCTCAAATACATGCTACTGTGCAAGATTATGGTGAATCAAGCTGATGATGTGGCTGGGATAATTTCGTCGAAGGCAGGTCTGCAATACTTGGGACCAGAGTTGGATGCCATGAAAGCTGTTGCCGATGCTTATTCAAAGCGATCCTTGAAGCTGTTCGAGATAGCTCTGCGTGATTATAAGGCCCAGCTGGAGGAAGACCCAATTGTCCACAGGCACCTCTCATCTCTTTATGACACACTTCTAGAGCAAAACTTATGCAGGTTAATTGAGCCTTTCTCTAGGGTTGAGATTGCACATATTGCTGATCTGATTGAACTGCCAATTGAGCATGTGGAGAAAAAGCTCTCGCAGATGATTCTTGATAAAAAGTTTGCCGGAACATTGGATCAGGGCGCTGGATGCCTCATCATATTTGAAGACTCCAAAACCGATGCCATCTACGCAGCAACTCTGGAAACCATTTCCAACATGGGCAAGGTTGTAGACAGCCTCTATGTTAGATCTGCCAAGATCATGGCATGAGGTTTTGTTTTTCAGTTGCTTTGTGTGTTAGTACCGCTGTTCAGTTCCCAGACACTTGACACTAGCAATGTTACCATTGATTAAAGGTTTTCTTGTGGTCCATACTTGGATGTGTTTTATCTCGTATCTCATGTAGCTCCTGAAATAAGGTTGTGGATGCATGTCATATGGCAATTGGATTCCTACATGCACTGGCACTGTCAGGCCTAGGATATTTTTAAAGATCAATTGGGCTTGTTCTTGGGCCTAAAAACTAGACCTAGCAAAATTAGATTTAATCAAAAAAATCTGACTCGACCTATCTACTATAGATAGGGCTATGAGTTAAAGATATTAATTTGGAATTCAATCCAACATAGACCAAAATTATCTAAGTTTAATTGAATTGGTTCCGGCTTGGGTCAACTCGAAATAACCTAATTAAAATTAATTAATTTTTTAAATTTAAAATTTTAATTAATTATACTTTTTAATTTTAATATTTAAATATAAAAGATAATTAA